ATAGAAGAAGGGTGGGATTTGTGCTTTATATAGTAAAAATTTTCCTAATTGTTCCATGACTATATAAAAATTTTTCTTAAAATTATGTATATTTATCTAAATTTTTTTTACTATGATGGAGATGATAAAATGCTAAGGAGAAAAGAAGTAATATAAAACACAGAATCATGTTGGTCTCACCTATTTAGTACTAAATTTACTACTTCCCGTTCCTGGTTTTGCGCAACTTTGTTGCGCAGCTACTTATTATATAAATTTTATAAAATTTTATAAAGAAAAAAAGTCGGTCGGTCGGGTTATTTAAAAGGTTCATGTTATGAAGATCAAATAATTACTGCTGCTTTTATAATTCCTGGGACACCTGATAAAAATTAGCCGAATGATTTTTCGGTCGATCCGGTTAAGTTACAATAAATTCAATAAAAATCAGTTGACTAATATACAGTAAAATTATGCATATCTCTTGTTGAATTCAAAAAATAGGATATTTTTAAAGCACATTCGCTGGCAAAGTTATTGAAAAAAAATTTAAAAAGCCTATCAATTCGAAAAATTGCAAAATACTAAGGTATTTGCAGGCCGTGTTCTTGTGCATTTTCAAAGATAATGCTGTATTGAAAACTTCCACCGCTTTCAAGAAAACCACGTTCTCTAAACATGGATGACTTAAAATATCTTAAAACTTTATGAACGAAAAACTTTTGTGAATTATAATCTGAGATTGAAATTTGAACATTGGTCTTACAACAATTTGGAGGGTAATATTTCGTACATTTAGGCCACTTGAAGATAAACTTTTGTTTATAGTTTTTTAATAAAATCTATATTAAATAAACTTTATATTTGAATGCTGATTGAATTATATATAACTATTTAAATTTTATTTAAGTTAAATTGATTTCGCCCAACCAAGTCTAGGTTCACTTAATCTAATTTAGGTTAATTTGAACCTATATAACTAAATCTCATTTAATTTTAATAGTTTTTAATTTTCTTTTCCCCCCTCTACAAATATCAAAAAAATAATGTTAAATAAAGTTTTTATTTTATAAATTTCTGCAGATCACAATGTGTATGAAAATCGGGGATTCTATAGATTTTAAGAATCTTACCAATTTCAAATAAATATAAATATAACTGATCGAAAATATGAATTAATAGACATTAGAATCAGCGATTTTTCTGTTCATCACCACAAAAATCATGGGGTCATATCTTTTTGCGAAGCGTTATAAATATGTGTGATAATTTTTGAAATCGACAAACGATGTAATTTCATTTGTGACGTAGATATATTAAAAATTGGACCTAATTCAAAATATATTTTTTATATACCGATCATACCGAAATCAATAACTTAATCGGATCGGCCAAAAATTACTGTAAGCTAATTTTATCAGGTGTTCCAGGAATTATGAAAACTTGTACGGCCTTATAATTACCATAATTAGAGTAGTGTTGGGATCTGTTTGGTTAAACGTCCGGATATCCGAGGATTGTACGGATATTCGGTTCCAAATAAAATCTTTCCGTTTTCCCATTTACCAAAATATTTAAAGAAATCTGTAAGACTAGCTTTTGGCGCCTCAACTTTAATGACAACTTCTTGTTCACGAGGCTTGTATGAACCTGTTGTTAATACTGTGTCGATATCTTGAACTGCCTGAATGACATTCCGTTCAATATCCATGGTATAACGAGGTGTTTCTGGTATTGTAAGTCGGAAGTAAAGGGCAATAACTCCTGGAACTGCTCCAAATCCAGTGACAATTCTCCACACATAATCAATTTGTGAAAAATCATTTGGTGTAATAGAAGACTTGAATGATACTATTGTGATAGTTGAAACGATAGCTGCTGTCAAAATCCCAATACCTTGCATGGCAAATACGGCAGCCATCATGCCACCTCTTCTCGAAGTTGTAGCGAATTCGCTAGTAATAACTTTATTTTTTTTAAAAAAAAAGAAGAAAAAGACAATCACATGAGATCGATAAGGAAATAAATTTATTTTTTTTTACAAATTTCTTACCTGCTGAAAGAGGGTAGTCTCCTCCTATTCCAATACCTAAAACAACACGCCAGAAGATGATAAGGCCATGAGCGGAGATGACATTAGAATTTGGAACATAAGTTTTTGTAACAGGTGAAAAAACGTAGGAATTTGAAACGAGGCAACAGGATAAGGTAGCGAAGATTATGATCAATAGCTCGATACCATACATCTATAATAATATAAATTGGTTGATTACTCATAATTGCAACCAAATTAAATAATTCTTCATAGTTCCTCACCTTTTTGCGACCTACGACATCTGCTAATATACCAAAAACGACTTGACCAACAAGTGTGCCAACTGGTGTTGCAACTTTTATACCCAAATCAACTTCTGTTGGAAGTGAATTTGTTCCAAAATATACGTAACCTAACATAACAGCTACAAGATTGATAGCGAAAATATCGTAGGCATCTGTGAAAAATCCTACTCCAGATACGATGCATGCTCTGACGTGAAACCATCCAAATTTAGCATTATCAATCTTTTCAAGAGCTTCGCGACGTTTTATATCATAATCGTCAGCAACAACTTGGGAAATTTTTTCTTTAATTTCTTCGGTCATGGTTATTATTATTATTATTATTATTATTACTATATATTTTTTGAAAATATAGTTAAATAGGACAGTTTCTAAAGTCCTCCTGATTAATTATTATATAGGTCAATAATTTGATGGGAAAAAAAGAAGATGGAGCGTGCGCACATTATATATAATGTTTAATTAAATGGTTATATGACTGCATGATGTGATATAAGTTATAGTATATTACGAATTATACATACACAATTTAACCCGATTTAAGTATATTTTATATATGGCACTGAGCAAATGTTGTTGAATAATGGTAATTTATTAATTAATTCAGTATTGGTGTTATTCGATAATTATCACTTGAATTTCAACACGATCACTATGATCACATGAGTTTGCCTGAATAGGTTTTTTTTTACAATATTAATTTGTTATGAATTGGCATAACGATAATCCGAAAATTAAAAACGTGTGGATGGATCTACCGACAATGAAATTTATAGTTTATATGATCTACTTAGCACAAGGTATTTAAGGATTATGAACTGCAGTCTTTACTAATAATGTTCAGACAATTTTGATTATATTAATTTGCTGCTCAAAAGATCAGTATTACAAAAAAGAATCAAATTTCATATCTCTTTCTGGAACAAATACTAGTAATAAACGGCGGCGTTTATTATGTATTAATTTCTGAAAATTTTTTCGTTAAAATAAAATATAATAAATAAAAAATAAAATAAAAAAAATATAAACAAAAATAAAAAAAAATAAACAATAATAAAAAATAAAAAAATAAAAATAAAAAAATAAAAATAAAAAATAAAAAAAAATAATAATAATAAAAAAAAATAATAATAATAAAAAAAAATAAAAATGAAAAATAATAAAAAATAAAAAAATAAAAATAAAAAAAAAATAAAAATAAAAAATAAAAAAAAATAATAATAATAAAAAAAATAAATAATAATAATAAAAAAAAATAAAATAAAAAATAAAAGATAAATAAAAAAAATTTATTCCCCGTCTCATTATGACGAGGATTTACGTATTATTAATCATAATTCTATCATAGATTTTTCTTTGTTTTTTTTTTTCTTTGTCATTTCCACGGAGAATAACATATAAAGCTAAGGTATTTGTTAGTTCACAAAAATAAAATAAATAAAATAAAACAAGAAAAATCTTATTCCACGTCGCATCCCGAAAATGTGTACCAGGTTGTGACGTAGACAAAATTTTTAAAATTCATTAACTTTAGGGTTAGGGTTAGGGTTTGGGTTAGGGTTAGTGAGTGTTTTATAAAGTAAAATTGCTCAACGAAAACTTTTTGCTAGAACGCCAAAGGTGGTTTCTTATGCTAATTTTTGAGCTATGGGCGATTTTTAACAGAACGAACGATTGTTTTGAATCTTCCTGATCGTGTAACGTTACACTGAATTTTATTAGTGATCTACGTCACAACAACAGGAGGGAACGTCAATGTTACACGAATGTTCATGTATTGTCTTATTATAACTAGCCAATCAAATCACAAAATTTAAAAATTAAAAAAATAATGATAGCGATAACGAAAGCGAAAAAAAATAGAATAAATTAATTTAAAGTTTATATTTTGAAGTTAAA